CCCCAAAACCCCAAAACCCCAAAACCCCAAAACCCCGAATTGAGAAGTTAAGATTGAAGGGAATTTCAACAGCATTAATAGGCATCTCGCAGATTAGAGAGTCAAGGACATAAAGAGATTACACTCAAGGGGTTTAAACTTGATTTGTTTTCAGTGATAGAATGATTGCTCTTATTATTTAAGATCTTCATTCAACATCTTTCATAAAACAACTATTCCTTTTTAAGACAAATTGTTAATACAAGTGAGCCTCTTGAATGCCTTCAAACCTTATCCATGAGTGGCCTTACAATTAGGTTGATTCCCTTTAAATTAATGCTTGAGGCATTTCTAGAGAGTACATTAACTTTATCTGGTGACCCCTTTACTCCAGAGTTTGCAAGTAAGATTGTTCATCTTTCTTGGATCAAAGTTTCGAGGAGTTCTCCCAAAGCTCTGCTGCCGGATTGATTTCTTTGTTATTTTATCTAGATCTGGTCGACTTGGCGAAACTGAGGATGACTGTAGCATATTCTACAAAAATAAGTAAGTCTTCAATAATAATGTAAAGGTCAAACACTTCATGCACATTTTCTTTTTTAATTCTTAATGAAAATATTTTAAAAAATGTATGAATTTTCAAATTTGGCCAATCTAGTGAAATAAATAGCCTTACAAATCTTTTTGATTTTGAAAACTTATGCCTTGGAGTTGACTTCTTAATCGACTGGAAGGAACTCGCCATGTTATAATAAGCTGGGCCTGGACCAAACTTATTAGACATATCCTTCTCGTACTCTTCAAAGTATATCTTGCTGCTTGTCTTATGAGGATGCCCAAAAGTAGGCCCAATAGTGTTGAACATTAATTGAGTGTTCTTCAACCTCTGCTTATTTTTCCGGCCTATAATTCTATTTGAAAAATACTCTTATGCTGACTGGTTGTAGGTCTGGTATAATCCCCAGGTCCAGGGCCTGTATTCTGGAAAGTGCTAAACCTAGAAGACTTCGGAATTGAGATAGCAGGGCCAATCTTAGTTGGGTTAGCCAAGGTTTGCTGGATATTCATCGAACTGGCATTGCTCTTGCTTCCAAGGATTTCTCTCAGATTTGTTAGATAAGAGTTAGGAATTTTCTTATTTTTTCTGTATCCCTTGTAAATCTTTTTGAACCGTTTATCATTCCCAATGGTTGCTCGGGGTGACATGTTTTTGAATACATTAGTAGGCACCTAGAGTATTAGTTCAGCGCTTTTATTCGAAATAAGAGAATAGATGAACTTACATGAGGGGGATATCTTCCCTTCGACTTTTTCTTCCTCTTCATTACTTTGGTCCACTGGTTAGAATATGGGCGAGCTTTGCTTTTTCTTCCCTGCTTCTGAGAATAAACTGTCAGATCCATACTATATTGATGATATAAATTGTTAATCTTACCTACTGATAAGATCTTTGGGAGTTTTACCAAAACTAAATTGAGGAGCAGATGGCTTAGAAGAGTTGTCCTTAATTTCTTTACCCATGTATGTAGTGTTGTATCCGTAACCAATTCCTATATTCTTTCTGTCAAAGTAATCATCTCTATATTTTAGCTCATTTATTCTCTTGGAAATGTATTTTTGAGATGTTCCCATTCTTAGAGTCTCTCATCTGGTTGAGTTTTGTTTGGTGTTAATTCTTTGTCTTCTCTTCTGAACTCTTTCTCCAGTGGATATTCTTTTGTTATAAGTTTCCTTTGCCTCTTCAATGTCCTGTCCGTTAACACTATCACTCATATTATTCTTGGGAATTTAAAAATTTATTAAAACTATATTATTAAAGGGGTTTTGGGGTTTTGGGGTTTTGGGGTTTTGGGG